TACATTTGAAAATTTTTTGCTGATACGCTTGAGTTCCTAACAATGGTCGTATGTATCTGTTCGAAAGAGTTTCCCAAACTCAGAAGTAGAAAAATTTATTCATTCTGTATAGACAAGAACAGTAGATAAAATAAAACATGAAATTTTCCATTCTCTGACCCTTAAAAACTACATCTCATGATAATAAGTAAAAACTGTCGAACAGTTTTGGTAAATTAGCTCGAACACCACGCGCAAACGGTAGACCCATTAGTATGTTTCGGAACTTTATTTTATTCTCTGAGACTGTCTCTCTCCAATGTACATGCTCTTAAATACCCTGTCGGTAGGCATTTTTGGGCTTACCAGACAACTGAACTTGGCGGGGTAATCATCTTTTTAGAATGCTAACCAAAGCAGTCTCACAAGACATCTGAGTGAAACAAAACAAATCTTGGAAAACTAAATCTAAACAAGACCTCCCGTTGAGGACTCTAATCAAGTCAAGGACAAACCCAAACACGACGAGCGATGACGACTATCGTTCGAGAATTAAGCCCTATTACAACAGTCAAGGACACATTATAATTTCTCAAAAGGTAAAAATACAATTTGGTCTTGGAACACAGAACAAACCAAGGTTCACAAGACTCGGACAAGGATCGCAAGATAATCTGAGCACTTAGCAAGAACATTCATAGTAGTTAGTTGGTAGGTCGTTGTAAACACTTATAACTTTAGTACTTCGTAACAAAACAACGTATGAAAATGAAAAATAATTCGTGAAAACTTCATAACGAATTCAGTATATATGGTGGATAATCCGCAGCATTTTGTGTTCTAGGCCGCACTTACAGAAGCCAACAACAAGAAGCCGCCATATTCGTCAGGATGCAAGGTGGGAAGTTTTAGTACTCTTCATTCCCTAAAATCGCGCAGTGAAATTCACAATGCATTGAGGCATTGATTAGAAAATAAAAGAAGGGAATCATTAATTTTCTGAAGTTTGAAATTCTGATTTGCCACACAGAATGCAACTCAACATGCTTTAATAACTAATCTCATTTAAGATTCATTAAGTTTGGTTTCCTAATTTGCGAACGAAAGGTAAACTAAGAATCCCACTTTCTCATTAAGGACTAATTGAAAATGACCGGAGTTGTGTTGTGTGTCAGGTAAACTTGTTTAATTTTTCAGTCCACCCGAAAAGTAAAATGTTTAGGCTGCTTTTTGATTCAGGCAAAGAAAATCAGGAAAAGGTACACACCACAAGAAGGTAACGTGAGCCCAGAGTAAACAAGCCCTCAAAAGCATGAAAACCGTAATCCATGCAAATAAATCGGATTTGCTGAAGAGCTTTTTTGATTTTGCATCTCTTTGATTGAAAGGATGACGCAATCGCTCAGCACCAGTCACAGTGCGCTGTTAATGAGATTCTGGATCATTTCCCACTCTCACTGAGGGGGTTAAGGAATGGAAACTAGAACTTTTAACATACCTTCCCACGTAATTAAGTATAAATTTGCATTTCTAAGTCTTTAGATTTCCAAATCTCGTCATGGATGGAAACTTATGTTCTCTTTCCACCTTCTTTCGTTGTTTTTCAGCTCGACGCTCCAGTCCCATTTTTTTTGGTTGTTTTATGAGTGCTGACCACGCTAATTTTATTCTACTTACTTTCAGGGAGATTCTTGTCCTAAATCAAAAGATTCCTCACAGGACAACAAGCAATTTCGTCCCACCTCCTGCCTTGATTATTTGCCAAAGGGCACACGCGCCTGTGGAATGTACCGCCTCTACGACTCTTCCGGCAACAGTTTCCCGGCATACTGTGACTTCAAGTCCGAGCCAGGTTTTGCATGGACCCTTGTGATGTCCTGGGCTAACAAATATCGTGCCTGGTCTGCCTTCAATAGTAATTCCTTCAAGGAAAACGCCCCTGTCAACGAGAATTCCCTTATCTGGAATATGTACCGCCTGAGTCTGACTCGAATGAGGTCCCTAAAAGCCCACTCTACTCATTGGCGAGCAACCTGCAGCTACCCGACCCATGGCATTGATTTTACAGACTATATCCGCGGTAACTTCAAGGACTTTAATATAGTCGACTTTATTGGGTCTGGTCAGTGCAAGAAGGTGGAGTTTGTGAATATCCGTGGGCACATTGGCGTGCATCTCACCGTACGCTTCTGGCAGGTGGCTAAAAGCTACCTTTTGCACACAGACAGCAGTTTATCCGGCTGTAACTTCAACGCGAAGTCCGGCTCAGTGCCAGGTGAAGATAACTTTGGTCATAACAGAGTCATCAACCCCAAGTTTCGTTGCACAGCGGGGGATCTTTCCACCACCCAGTGGTGGTTTGGAGCACATCTGTGAGCTTCACGTCCAAGGGTTTTTTAGACGACACAAGACAAGGATCACAACACTCATGTAATCAGTTGATCATGAACTGGATTTAGAAAAAAACTCTTCAATAAAGATAGAGATCAAAACTAAAAAGAAATCATCTTCTTTTCATGAACTTACTATTCTCGTCCGAGAGGTTGAGATAACAGACTAAAAAGTTTGGCGTAGTTGGGGCTGAAATGGAAAAAATCGTATTGTGGGGTAAACCGTTAGCCGTCAAAAGGCCAAAAAAAATTAGCCGTTACGCGTGAAAGTTCACAAACCTTTATTCGGCAGTCGCAATAAAGATAACCATTAAAATTTTTCTTTTAACTTCAACGAAAAGAAATTAACCGTTAGCCATAAAATGGCAAAATTTTAACCTTAAAAGCCATCCTCCCTCAGTAGAGACCCTCTACAGTTTCCGTAGAAAATACTCAGTTCTCTTCTATTGATAGCCATACCATGAGGTGCAATGAAAATTCAGTTCTAGATGTGAACAAGTGAGAAAATCAGGCCAAGCATATATGCGGAACTAGTTAACAATAATTCGACTTCGTTTGTTGAGAATTGCTTTAGCATCGATGTCAAAATAATTGTCCACATGAGTGAAATATCTGTGGGCACTAAAGCAAACTTTCGTGATACTTTAAAAAAGGTTTAGATAGTTTTGACCTATAGTTGTGGTACTCATCTCTCCGTTCGATTGTCTAGCAGTAATGTTGGTCAGAAAAGTGCCCTCGAAATGAATTGAAGTGATACTTAGATATGCTGTATGGAAACAGCTTCCTTCCGAAGTGATCGTCATCTAGCTTCTTCGAAGTCCAAATCTGGAGATATCTTGCATGTCTAATTCTGATTTTAATTAAATTAGATTATTCGGCAGTATTTGCGTTCCTTGGTAAAGAATCTGCAATAACACTTTGAAATTGGTCTTGAATGCTTTTTACATGAATGCTTTTTTCAAACTAAAGTTTCCTTGATCAAAAATGACAACAGATAATAAGAAAATCTCGGAAGCTGTAGAAGGGGCGTTGGCGCATATTGAAACGAACGCTCCTAAAGAGCATTCCAAGCTCATTGCAGACGGGAAATTGAAAGATGCTATCACTGCAGCAGCGAGGGAAGCCGCCGATGAGGGAGTGAAGCTCGCTCACGAGTTTAAGCAATTAAGAAGTCTTCAGCATTCCAGCAAGCGATACAGAAGTTTGTCAGTTCATGGAAAGCGGCGGGAGGCAATGCAACTGACAAGGCTAAAGCCATTTTCTTCCTCCTCAAAGAAACCTACGCAGCTGGATTGTTGTGGACCATCATCAAGAGTTTGTGCAGACAGATGAAATGGTACGACTGGTTGGAGACCGCAGAAGGTGAGCGCCATGATCATAGCAGCCGTTGGCACAGAAGGAGCAGCGCTAATAGCAAAGATTGCTTTGACCGTTTTGGCTGCTGTCGATTTCGCCAGGAAGATCGCTAATCTGGTACAACTTGAAGAAATAAAGAAAAGTCTGTAGGAAGAAAGAGATTATGCAGGTTTCGGCAGTTTGCCAGGGTTCATGACATTTTCAGATCAGACAATTCAAATCTCCCAAAAATACATTGAAAAAACAGTGCTTAATTGTTTGGTGATACATAGGAATCGAACATGACAATGTGAAGCTGATTCATTTCGTTAGCAAAGGCACACTTAAAGTTACCAGATTTATGAACTTATAGATGATTTAACTCACTAATATCACAAAATTGATTCAGTCAACAGAACAATTATTATTTTAATTACAGCAGTTAATTTTTGTACTCAGTTATTAATCGTGATCACTTACCAGATCAATATTCAAAATTCTTTTAAATAAATTCGTCGCTTTTCGGATGATCTGTTTATCTTACTCTTCCCTCTTAACATTTTACATCAAACATGACTGAAAACATACTCTGACAAGAATAAACATTGGCAGCTAAAAACGTATGATCTGATTCTCAATTCATTCGTTATATTCTCACTTTATTTCAAGGTTTATGTAAAATCTGTGAATCAAGCAATGTTTCCTCGAATTACACATTGAGCCTCCAAATGTAAACATCTCCTGTTGATTAACTTTTTACGCGGCACTCTTAACCCTTAACTCCTACTAGTGACCAAGACAGAACTTCTCCTTACAATATCAATACAATGTCAACCAGATAAGTGATGAGAATAAAGAAAAATATCAATTAGAGGATTACTCGTTGATCAAATACCGAGTTCTCCAAAGTAACACCATAAGAACCGTATAGCAATAGTTAGGAGAATTACTAATGAGATGTTGGGATTGAAAGAGTTAGGTCGGAACACGTTCCTATTGACAAGTGTTTTTGGTCGTTTTTCCATCTGAAATAAACATTCTACTCTGACCCGTGAGCACAAAGTTCATTGACATGGAGATTATATTTCACTTTTAAAACATACAACCGCGCGCTAGATTAGGGGCTCGAAATAACACAGAAGCAAAATATACATTTTCCAAAATATACATTTATATTGGAACTCGATACGCAATCGAGTCACTTACTCAATGGCAATTAGTCGATAGGAATAACGGGCAGACATCTTCAGTTGGTCACCCGAACTCGTCCGAGCACGAAGCTATATTGGAGTATAAACCGCGCTTAAAACGATAGAGAGGCTTTGTTGCAGTTTATACTAGGCATCGTTGCGTAAAATATCTCCTTCCAACACAATTAGCTTTGCAAAATTCGTTCCTTTGCTACTCCTAAGGAGTAGTAAACCTAGAGATGGATAACTCGCTAAAATGACTTATTTTCAACATAGCAAGCTGTCAGACAACAAGCGATGCACTGTGAAAGTAAGGTGAGGTATTTTTATTGAGAATTTGACAGTATTTTTTTAATTCCTAAGGTCATAAATATTCCCATACAAACTCTTATATTTTCGCCATGACTCGTATTACGCAAGATGATCATCTCACAGGTGAAGCTTAGGCTGCCTGTGCTTCCAAGTGAACAAAAATGTATCGAGTTCAGGCACAAACCTAATATTGTGAACCGCTTCGACTGCTTTTGATCTGATGTACACCAAGAACCGTGATTAAATTCAATTATCTTATGTAAACATTGGCTGGAGCGATCAGACGCGGACGAAAATAATCCTGTGATTATCTGATAAAAGAAAACTTGTAGAATTCACTACCGCATATCTTCAATTTCAATCATTCCAAGAAACTTGCGGTCACATAAAATGCGTTCTGTGGTGTTTTCGTTCAGAGGCAGAAAATTTAAAGAAACACTATTGGATGCAAGCCAACGCTGTAGACAAAGGTCATTGCGTTACAATGCGAATATTTATTAAGCAACCGTGTGGCGAAACGTGACATCGCGAAATGGAAAATTGTCGAATTTGGCTTGTGCAGGCGGAGAAAGATGTGGATTGCAGCGCCTGAATTTGACGAATTTTGCAGAGAGAAATTCGTTTAACACAGGATACTATTATGTGCTGTTTTTTTTAGTAGAATTTATATGCGTTCATCATTCTGCAGAGTTGGATGGCTACCATAATTGTGGTACGCTCCGTGATTGTCCCGAAGCTTGGCTTTTGAGATAAGAGCAACCTTGCATTGCCACATGATCAATAATTACAAGTTCACAACCATGTTTCTTCTCCAGATTATGTACTTTATGCAAGAGTTGGCCATAGGTATTTTTTGATTATCACAAACCATTCCTCCAATATTAATACAACCATGTTTCTTCTTCAGATTAAGTACTTTATGCACGAGTTAGGCATAGATATTCTTTGATTTTTGTTATCATAAGCCATTCCTCCAATATTAATACAACCATGTGATATGAAACTGCAAACACTTAGATTGACTTTAACAGCTTCTAAACCGTTGATTCTTCGGTGTCACATGTTATTTTGTTCAATATCAGTGACGTGAAAAGATAGTGATTTATTGTGTGAAGGGGTATTTAGTCAGAATTTCCGAGAAAAACATGGAGACCATTTTGAAAATTTGACAACATCGAGCATCGTATCTTCCCAATTACTACACGAATTTTACGTAAAAATGCAGTCAAAATTTAAACAAACAAGCAAAAAATGAGGTGACTCGACACGAGATCACTTATTAAGCGCTACAAAACAGAGCTTTTCCTGACTTTGTCGTGATCGACAAAAACGCTTTGAACCCTAAATTTAAGTTGCATTTGAACGGTAAGATCTCGGTACGATATTATTATACACGTTAAACGTTTCGTAAACGTTACACGATAAACGTTACACGTTGATTAAAAGCTACACGTTTAACGTTACATCAAGGGCAGACTAGCACATTATGAGGCCTTTTCAAGCCAAATCGCCATAATTTAATAATTTTATTTGATGGGTTATGCGCAGTCGACTAAATGGTGGAAAAATTCCACGACAAACTTTCTGGTAAAGTATATCAAACTTCAACAATGTCTTAAAAAAGCACAACAGAGAAAATTTTGCTTAAGATTCGCTTACGGTTTTTGTATCAGTCCATAGATAGACGTGGCAGAGATCGCTATGCATGACAATTAAAAATATTTGCACAAATGGCTAAAGGGCAGACATCTTCAGTTGGATTCTTGACGTTGTTTGCCGTTCGCGTAAACTTGGTTAAAAACATTTCTTACCTGCCTCTTTGCTCAGACGAATGGCTAATCTTAAACATTTGAAAGAAACGAAATCTCGGAAAGTTAGCTGTGCAATGCGTAAAACCGTTTTACTTAAACTCGACGTTGATATATGGTCAACTCAATTTCACAAATATTTACCCCCCGGAGAAGTCAACGCATTAAATAAAATAACTCTGTATCATTTACAAATTTCTTTTCCCCCACAAAACCTTCCTCCTTTCTGAAAAAATGAGATGAAAATTTCTGGAAATTTGTAAAAAGTCTGTTGATGAATATGGACATGCAAATTCTTTGGTGTATGGTTGCATTTCATGTTTGAGAGTTTCGTTCCATTGTCTGGCTCTCAACTCAGTTACAACATTAGGCAGACAGCTGCGAAAGAATTAACTGGTTGAAAAGGATAACACTCTAATACTTTAACAAATTAAATCGACGGAAAAGTAAAAAACAAACTTCATAAGGCCGATGCATAGTTTTTTACGGTCGAGGCTTTTCAGTTACATGTCTCACTTAACCTGAAATGTGCGTGTTTTTGGGAGACATTTTCATGTTACCAGTTTGTTTACTTCCTTTGTACACGTATGCACTTACCTTAAGATCGATCTGAACAGTCGTTGAGGATATTTTCGACTGCCATCGAACTAGAAACGGTCAGAAAGGAACTTATAATTTCTGTGCTGTTCGAAGCTGACCAATATCGAAGCTCGGCTAGACACCGCGAGAAAACACGGATATGGAGTTGAAAGCAATCGCATTAATTGGAATCGTTTTCCTGGTGAGTGGGTTTTTTACTGACTTTTTCATCATGTGTCGAGGCTTAGTCGTGTAAACCGATATTTTTAACATTGTTATTTTGGACAAAACCGGATCTAGTTCAAAACTAATTTACAACCAGAAAAAAATTTAGTAGATACTGAAAGAGACTTAGGTCTTTCGCGTAGAAGCTCCCAAAGCTGTCTAGGCCTTTCACGTGAATCAAGTTTTGAAACCGAACAGCCTCGGCTCTCGGGTTCGCGCCCTAATACTCAATACTTGGTTCTCGAGATCAAAGGCATAAAAACAATTAAAACCGGATTAATTAAAATAAAAGTAAGAGAAACTTCTCAGGCAAGGGTAGCATATCACGAAAATGATGTTTAGTTGTTGCGGACTAACTTCAAAGTTTGTTTATAAAATATAGCTGACCATAAGAACTATACATTTGAAAATTTCTTACTGCTACACTTGAGTTCCTAACAATGGTCGTATGCATCTGTTCGAAAGAGTTTCCAAACTCAGAAATAGGAAAATTTAATCTGTGTGGACTTCATGACGAATTTGGTATATATGGTTGATTACCCGCGGTATTTTGTTTTCTAGGCACTTACAGAAGCAAACAACAAGAACCCGCTACATTCGTCAGGATGCAAGGTAGGAAGATTTAGTCATTTCATTCCCTAAAATCGCGCAGCAAAGATCACAATGCATTAAGGCATTGATTAGAAAATAAAAGAATGAAAATTATTGATTTTATGAAGTTTGAAATTCTGATTTGGAGCACAGAATGCTTTAATAGTTAATCTAATTTAAGATTCATTCAGTTTGGTTTACTAACCTGCGAACGAAAGAAAAACCCAAAAAAATCCCACTTTCTCCGCTGTTAAGGACTAACTGAGAATGACCGGAGTTGTGTTGTGTGTCAGGTAAACTTGATTAATTTTTTCAGTCAAACGGAAAAGTAACATATTAAGCCTGCTTCCTGATTCAGGCAAAGAAAATCAGGAAAAGGTACACATCAGAAGAAGGCAACGTGAGCCCAAAGTAAACAAGGCCTCAAACGCGTGAAAACCGTAATTCATGCGAGTAAGTCGGGATTTGCTGAAGAGATCTTTGATTTTGCATCTCATTGATTGAAAGGATGACGCAATCGCTCAGCACCAGTCACAAAAGTGCGCTGTTAATGAGAGTTCCGGATTATTTTCCATTCTCACTGAGGGTTAAGGATTGGAAACTAAAACTTTTAACATGCCTTCCCACCTAATTTAGTATTAATTTGCATTTCTAAGTCTTAAGATTTCCCAATCTCGCCATGGATGGTCTCTATGGAAACCTTCGTTCACTCTCCCCCTTCGTAAGTTGTTTTTCAGCCCGACCCTTCAATCCCATTGGTTTTTTTTTTTTTTTTTTATGACTGCTGACCACGCTAATTTTATTCCGCTGACTTTCAGGGAGATTCTTGTCCGAAACCAAAGGATTACTTTCAAGACAACAAGAAATTTCGTCCCACCTCCTGCCTTGATTATTTGCTGAAGGGCGCATCCGCTTGTGGAATGTACCGCCTCTACGACTCTTCCGGCAACAGTTTCCCAGCATACTGTGACTTCAAGTCCGAGCCTGGTTTTGCATGGACCCTGGTGATGTCCTGGGCTAATAAAAATCGTGGCTGGTCTGCCTTCCGGAGTACTCCCTTCAAGGTAAACGCTCCTGTCAACGAGAATTCCCTTATCTGGAATATGTACCGCCTGAGTCTGGCTCGAATGAGGTCCCTACAAGCCCACTCCACTCACTGGCGAGCAACTTGCAGCTACCCGACCCATGGCATCGATTTTACAGACTATATCCGCGGTAACTTCAAGGACTTTAATATTGTTGACTTTATTGGGTCTGGTCAGTGCAAGAAGGTGGAGTTCGTGAATATCCGTGGGCACAGTGGCTTGCACCTCACCGTACGCTTTTGGCAAGTGGCTAAAAGCTACCTTTTGCATACGGACAGCAGTTATTCCGGCTGTAACTTCAACGCGAGGTCCGGCTCAGTGTCAAGTGAAGATAACTTTGGTTATTATGGAAGCGTCAACTCCAAGTTCCGTTGCACAGCGGGGGATCTTTCCACCACCCAGTGGTGGTTTGGTGCCCATTTGTAAGCGACAATGGCGCGCACCAAAGGGTCTTCAAAACGACAGAAAACAACTCTCAGCACACAAGTATTGATTCTGTAAACTAGACTTAGGAAATAAGAATGTAATCTTTGGAAGACTCTTCAATAAAGACTGAGATCTCCAAGAACTGAGTGTATTCTTGAGTTCTTACCCGTTTTCGCGTTCCTTTTATAAGCAGTTTCGACTAAAAAAAACTTCAATGCCACAATCCTTTAGTTTGTACACAGTTTCTCAGTTCTGCATATGCGTAAATTCTAGCATGCTCATTGCCCCAGAGCAGGTCCATTGGTCCCAGTCCTCAGCATTGCTAAAAGTTGCAACTTTATTCTGTTAAGGTATTTAGTATATTCCGATGGAACCATGAGGGCCATTTTGAAAATTGGACAAAATTGAGTATCATATTTTCACAAGTTCTACAAGAATTTCACATAATAAGGCAGTCAAACAAACAGACAAAAAAGTGGGTCACTTGACACTAAATCAGTCATTAAGCGCTGTCACTGAGAGTTTCTATTCGTGACCATCTCGTGATCGACCCAAACGTGCGCCAAAAGCTCATAACATTTATCTCCTGACAGATAATGTCAGAGTTTGACACAATTGAGTTTAATAACAGATTTGCCAGCACTTAAACAGCTTGATAATCAGCCGATGATTTTTCAAATAGTATGCATGTCTGAAAATTGTTGAGGAAAGAACACCAATTGATTATCACTGAAATGGAGTCGAATAGGATGGATCGTACGCTTTTTTATTTTTTAAAAGATCTGTAAAGCTAGTGAAAACTATTCCGCTTCGAACTATCAGAAACCGACTTTGGTAACTGTACAATTATTGTATTTAGTAGCTAACTTTTACTGATCACTCGCAGCCGCAACTAAAATGGTTCAAAATAAATTTGTCTTTTTTTTCAGGTGAAGTTTTAATGAAAAAGACCTTATCCCTTCCTTTAAAGTAATTTTTAAGAGTAAGTAACAAAAATTTCAGGTGGCCACCCATATTGAGATCATTTTATTAAAAACAAACTAGCATATTAGCCGGCTCTTTTCCCTTGCCTTGCCAGTCTCCTGCTAGTCTAGCATGCGCAAGAGGATCGATTTTGGTCACAATTTTGAATTTTTTCCCACTCAAAACACTAAAATATGATTCATTCGAGTGAAATTGCTATCATTAAATATTTGTTTTGGTTCCCTTCCCTTGGAACTATTCGAAGTCGAGTGAATGATGAAACAATTGAACGACAAACTGTCTGGTAAAGTAGATTAAATTAGAACTACGTCGAAAAGAAGAACAACCGTCAAAATGTTTCCTTAAGATTCGCTTGTGGTTTTTGTATTTTGTCCTTTCAGTATCCTTTACGCATTAACTGAAAATGAACATATTTGCAGTAACGACTGAAGAGCAAACAGCTACTGTTGGATTCTTGACATTGTTTACCGTTCGAGTAATTTTGGTTAAAGATGTTTGATACGAAACGAGATCTTAGAACTTGAGCTTCAAGGAAATCGCCATTGCGTAAGACTACTTTCCTCAAACTCTACGCTGATAGCCAACTCATTGTTTCAAAAATATTTACCCATCGGTGGAGTATGATTTTTTTTCGTTAACGCATTGACATCACTTTTCAGTACAATTGTTCAAGGGATTATAGAAATGTGCTCGGTCTGATTGGTTGGGGATTGCGTCATAGCTCGCTATATAGAATCACCGCTCACGAGGTGGTTATAGCGAGAGCGCTAAATTTCAAAATGGCTGCCTTACATTTTGTCATTGTTTTCGAGAAAGTGATAAACGCTATAGAGGAAAATTCAATTCCCAAGAGCACAGACGACGCTATTGAATTTGGTCAGTAGAACACATTTCAAAAGAAAGACATGATCGAATCAAATAAACCTGTTAAAACTGCTTACTTATCTTGATACGAGTAATCACCACAATTGAAACAAAATATGCGCAATCGGTCTCTTCATTTACAGAATTTACGAAACAATTCGACAGCACCTGAGCAAACATGCTAATTAACAAATAATTGCCGAGAGGCGAATTGAATATTGTTGAATAAAGGCAAATAATTGTTAAACATGTCATCTACACTTTCCTTTCCACCGCAAAACCCTCTTCCTCTCCAAAACTCCTTTCTAGAAATTTGTAAAGTCTGTTCCTGCAAAGTAAAAAGTCCACATGCAAATTCTCTTATGTATAGTTGCAAATCATGCATGTGTCATGATCAACTTTCATTTTATTGTTCCATTGTCTCCCAACTCTTTCTATATTTTGCCGACGACCATGGAAGAATGCGATGGTTGATAAAAAATAACACTTGGGCTAGTTAAATATCCGAATTCAAAATCGACGACAATTTCCTAAGTGAGGCTAATGTAAAGTTTGTAAAGTTAGAACTTTTCAGTTATCACTTTACCTGAAACGAACGTGTTTTTTGAGAAACATTTTCATGTTACCAGTTTGTTTATTTCCTTTGTACACGTATGCACTTACCTTAAGACCGATCTGAACAGTCGTTGAGGATATTTCCGACTGCCATCGAACTAAGAAGGAATTTTATAGTTTCTGTACTGCTCGAAGCTAACCAATCGAAGCTCACCTAGACACCGCGAGAAAACACGGATATGCAGTTGAAAGCAATCACAGTTATTGGAATCGTATTCTTGGTGAGTGGGTTTTTGACTGAGTTTTTAATCTCGTGTCGAGGCTTGATCGTTTCAATCGGTATTTTCTTTTCAAGGAACTTTCAAATAGGGCTACGGGCTTTATTGAGTATTTATTGACAAAACCGGATCTAGTTCAAAACTAGTTATTAACCAGAACAATTATTAGATATTGAGAGAGACAAGTCTCCGAATTCCGTAGATGTCTCCAAGGCAGTCTAGGGCCTTTCATATGAGACACGATTTCAAACCGAACAGGTTCGGTACTCGAGAACTCGCCTTATTACTTTTTTCGTGTCAAAATCAATGTGTTCTTTCCCGCTGGCCCGGTTCTCGAGATCTATGGAAAGAAGAGCTTTAAAGATCTGCATTAATTAAAATAAAAGCGGAAGTAAATTCTCAGGAAAGGGTTGCTTATCACGAAAACGATGATTAGTTGTTGCGGACTAATTTCAAAGTTTGTTTATAAAATCTAGGTGACCTTTAGACTATTTTTGAAAATTTGTTGCAAAAATTGCAAAAAGCAAATCCGTGAGGACGAGGATGTAGAATAAAACAGGAGATGGAATCTTCAAACTTCAGATTTCTAAAAAGCCACATATTCTGATCGATTACATGTAAAAACTACGCTTGAAAATAAAAATAATATTCGTAATAACTTCATTTCAAATTCAGCATACATGACAAATCACCCGTGGAATTTTATTTTCTAGGCACTTACAGAAGCCAACAATAAGAACCCGCTATACTCATCAGGATGCAAGGTGGGAAGTTTCGGTCATTTCATTCCCTAAAATCGCGCAGTAAGATTAACAACGCATTAAGGCATTGATTAGAAAACATAAGAAGGAAATTATTAATTTTATGAGGTTTGAAATTATGATTTGGAACACAGAATGCAACTTAACGTGCTTTAATAATAAAGGACTTATTGAGAATGACCGCTGTTGTGATGTGTGTCAGGTAGACTTGTTTAATGTTTCAGTCAAACGGAAAAGTAACATATTAAGGCTGCTTTTTGATTCAAGCAAAGAAAATCAGGAAAAGGTACACATCACAAAAAGGTAACGTGAGCTAAAAGTAAACAAGATCCCAAACGCGTGAAAACTGTAATTCATGCAAATAAATCGTAATTGCTCAAGGGCTCTTTTGATTTTGCATGTCATTGATTGAAAGGATGACGCAATCGCTCAGCACCAGTCACAAAAGTGCGCTGTTAATGAGATTCCGGATTATTTCCCACTCTCACTCTGGGGGTTAAGGAGTGGAAACTAAAACTTTTAACATACCTTCCCACCTAATTAAGTATAAATTTGCATTTCTAAGTCTTTAGATTTCCAAATCTCGCCATGGATGGTTTCTATGGAAACCTAAATTCTCTTCCCCTCTTCGTTCCTTGTTTTTCAGCCTGACCCTCCGGTCCCATTGGTTTTTTTTTGTCTTGTTTTGTTTTTGTTTTTTACCATGACTGCTGACCACGATAATTTTATCCTGCTTACTTTCAGGGAGATTCTTGTCCGAAACCAAAGGATTACTTTCAAGACAACAAGAAATTTCGTCCCACCTCCTGCCTTGATTATTTGCTGAAGGGCGCATCCGCCTGTGGAATGTACCGCCTCTACGACTCTTCCGGCAACAGTTTCCCAGCATACTGTGAATTCAAGTCCGAGCCTGGTTTTGCATGGACCCTGGTGATGTCCTGGGCTAATAAAAATCGTGCCTGGTCTGCCTTCCGGAGTACTCCCTTCAAGGTAAACTCTCCTGTGAACGAGAATTCCCTTATCTGGAATATGTACCGCCTGAGTCTGACTCGAATGAGGTCCCTACAAGCCCACTCCACTCACTGGCGAGCAACTTGCAGCTACCCGACCCATGGCATCGATTTTACAGACTATATCCGCGGTAACTTCAAGGACTTTAATATTGTCGACTTTATTGGGTCTGGTCAGTGCAAGAAGGTGGAGTTCGCGAATATCCGTGGGCACAGTGGCTTGCAACTCACCGTACGCTTTTGGCAAGGGGCTAAAAGCCACCTTTTGCATACGGACAGCAGTTCATCCGGCTGTAACTTCAACGCGAGGTCCGGCTCAGTGTCAAATGAAGATAACTTTGGTTATTATAATACCATCAACCCCAAGTTCCGTTGCACAGCGGGGGATCTTTCCACCACCCAGTGGTGGTTTGGAGCACATCTGTGAGCTATATGTCCAAGGGTCTTTTAGACGACACAAGACAAGGATCTCAACACTCATGTAATCAGTTGATCATGAACTAGATTTAGCAAAAACGATGTAACCATTTGAAAACTCTTCAATAAAGATTGAGATCCAAAAGAAAAAGAAATCATCTTCTTTATGTGAAGTTTCTATCAAGTTTTGCGTCTGAGAGGTTGAGATTCAAGACTAAAAAGTTTGGCGTCCTTGTGGCTTAAATGGCAAAAATCCTACTGCAGGATTAACCGTTAGCCGTAAAAAGGCAAAAGAAAAAAATTAGCTGTTATGCGTTAAAGTTGACAAACCTTTAACCGGTAGTCGTAAAAAAGTTAAGCGTAAAAATATTTCTTTTAACTGCAACGAAAAGAAATGAACAGTTAGCCGTTAAAGTCATCATCCCATTGAGACCCTTAACTGTTCCCGTAGAAAATACTCAGTTCTCTTCTGGTGATAGCCATGCCAAACTCGCAGCGATTGGCTGACAGCACCTTCATTAATTCCGATTCCAAACAATGGTGAAGGTTTAAGTTTAATGCATACTATTAGCATAGGTCCAAATACCTACGCAAAAATTTCTGAGCAATTTCATAAACATGCAAACTTACATGGCGGGTAAAAGGCGATGTATCACTTTGGATTCAATATTCAATTTGTAAAATTAGTATTTTACTCCATGCACAATAAATGATCGAGAATATGAGTCCTCGGTTTCATCGTTATACTGATGCATGATCCGCTAACTGAGAAGGTTAGCTCAAAGCTGTTTCATGAACACAGGCGAAGAGTTGTTTTCTGTGTGTCTTCTCTTTAGAGAAAACAAAGGAACCCTAGGCCAGCCCTTTCGATGCATAAAGAACAAGCGTGCCCGGCTTTCCAGGGAGACAATTGAGAAAAGAGAGGGAATCTGAGAAGTCAAGATTCGATTACGTAATTCGATAAATGAAAGGTATAAATCGCGTGCAAAATTCTATTTTCAACACACGATTTCAACAAAAAGCGAAAAAAATTAATACGTTCAACTTGGCAATTTAGTGGCATAAAGCCACCCACCTACCCGTATCATTTATTTACCTAGTTAAGTCGTTTAGAGAAGTTTAATGAAGTGTTGAGCCACGGATAAAGGAATTCCTCTGATTGTGAAGATGAAAACTGAGGTAAAACGCTGACCAGAAAAAAAGGAGAACGAACCAAGCAACCCGCCTACCCGTATAATCTTTTATCTTTTCTTGATCTCGATTACATGATAGATGGGGTGACCCGCGTGGACGGGTTACCCGGTCGGCCGGGTAGGGTAACACTGTCAACAATTGTATACGTCTTAAGGTGGGGTAACCTGCCTAGGAAGGTTGCTCGGTCTGAAGGGTGGGGTACCCCTGCCAGCTGGGATCACAATTTGCCATATAAACGTCTCAACGTGGGGTAACCCACCTAAACGGTTATTATCGGTAATTTTACAATTTCAAGTGCGACAACAATCTTAAAAAATTTCACCGCGGGATCCCAGGATTGTAAGATTGTATGTAAATGCGAGCTATTTTTACGACCATGGTTAGGCGGGTTACCTCACTTACCTGGGGTCTCCCACCTCCATGTAAACAGGCCCTTAATATATCATCTTTCTTCATTGTGCCATCTGGTACTTAGGTTAGTTCGATCAGATAATTTTCCTCAACTCCCATTGGATATATATGAAGCGATCAAAAACCAGCTTTCCTTTTTTCAGTCGGACGATTTTCACGCATATACTGACCATAAGGTTGTAGTTTGGCAATCAAAACTATTTTCTTTCTTCAATTTATTAACTCCACAAAAGGTTCTTATTATAAATTGTTTCAAGATAACATGAAAAGTTTGTTACCATCGTTTTGCTTTCAGAGCAGTTTTATTAACTGCTTTGTGATAAAATCCATTGTGAGGCTACATTGATGTGCCATGATTGTTTGGTTTTTTTAATTGTGATGTTTGGATTAATAAACAGAATCACGGAGCGATGTGCAGATGCTATTTAGTAAACTGCCTTCTACGCTGTAAAATAATTTTTGAATCTTGCAAAACAGTTTATTGTTTTTAATCTGTTTAATTTTTTAAAGCATCTACTTATTAACATCTGTCAATACTATTTTCTAAATCAGAGCTACAGGATCACAACAATAAGATGATGAAGCCAATGGCTTATCCGTTTCTGCAAGAGCCTTTAGTAGGATGGGCTAGAGATGAGCTCCGAACCACCATTGTGTGGTGGAGAACTTTCTCTTGGTGCAACGGAACTTAGGGTTGATAACAGAATAGAACCCAAAGTTGTCTTCAGACAGCACCGAGCCAGCCCTTGGGTCAAAATCGCAGCCGTCACTAGCGCTGTCGATATGCAAGGTGAAAGTGTCGTTAACCTGCCAGAAGCGTGCTGTAAGATGAGTGCCAATATGTCCCCGGATGTTCACGTGTTCCACCTTCTTGCACACTCCAGACCCAATGAAGTTAACAATGTCGAAGTCCTTAAAGTTACCACGGACGTAGTCTGTGAAATCGACACCATGGCTTGGGTAGTTGCAGGTTGCTCGCCAGTGAGTTGAGTGGGCTGCAAGGGACCTTATTCGCTTCAGACTCTGGCGGTACATATACCAGTTATGAGAATTCTCGTTGATTGGAGCGTCGTACTTGAAAGGAGTTTGTCTGAACTCAGGAAGCCCACGATTGATGTTAGCCCAGGACATCACCAGGGTCCATGCTGTACCTGGCTCAGACTTGAAGTCGCAGTAGGCGGGATAACTGTTGCCATGCTCGTCGAAAAGCCGGTAAATGCCACATGTCGATTTGCCTGGTGCATAGTAATCAACGCACGACTTAGGGCGAAATGGTTTCTGATAAACATCAGGCATCGGCTTGGGACAGTGATTTCCCTGGTAATAGACAGAAATTGAATGGAATAATTTCAAAGCCGAGCTTTCTTATTACCTTTATGAACTTGACGCTTTCGATCGCGAAATTGCTGATATTAGAAATATGCAGGCACCTGTCACATTTAAACTTCGTGCTCAGTAGCCTGGCTCACCGTGGAGCCTCTGTAGTTCAGAGGTACATCCACGGATGGCGGAATCAGAAGCTCTCGCTTCTCGCTTCTCCCGTGACAAGATACAAGATATCTATCTTTCAACCGGAAGTGAACTAAAAATTTAAATTTGGCTCTTTGACGTCCACCTTTATGCAGGTACAGTGTATACCTCAGTTTAGGTATTTATTATTTAATCCAGGGAGACTATTACAAATTAACAACCCAAATTCTGGTGTGTTATTCTGTCAAGATTTAATTCTTTTTTACTTTATCATTTTAACAGTTTCAAACCTGTGATAACTTGCGTAAATGCGAAAAAAAGAACTCAGTCTAGCTCTAAAAAATCCTTCATTCCCTAAGTTCATTAACGTGTAACCTCTTCTCACTGTAGCAAAACACCATTCTACAGGCGATCAAAGCAAACTTGATACAATAACAGATTCTCTCAGCTAATTTAGAAGGAGGTCTTCCAATTCGTGCGGATAATTACCAATCGTTGAGACCTCTAATTGAAAGGGGATGATGATAAAGAGAGATTTCTTTGGATAACAGAAAGATTTACATATCAGAATTTCCCACCTTACACTCCACTGAATGTTCGTCTATATGATGATCACCCCTGACCTAAAAGACCAACAAAATTTAAACGAAACTTTAAGCGCGTAAGTCGAGTGACTATCCTCACGAAGGCTGTGCTCTAGATATTACCTGAGCAAAGTAAATTACCTTCAGTAGCATCATAATTCTGAAATTTTCATGCTTTGTCACAGATCAGAAATGCTTGAAAAGCTTCCCTTCAGCGAATTAAGTGCGGTCAGAGATTTAGCTTAACTTTCTTAAGTTACTAAAGCCTACATTCATGCCACTTCCGCTGCTCTGCGATTACGTTTACGAAATGGAAAGATGAAATAAATATGGAACGTAAGAAAAATACTTGTTGTCTGAATCCAGTTGAGGAGAATGGAAATGAAAGAAACTTACTGGAAAAATAACAGCAAAGAGGCAAAGTATCACTGCAGAGGAACTTGGTAACAACATATCGAGTTGTGGTTTTCCTTGTGAACTTCTTTAGAATGGTTCGAACTCTTGACCTCTTTACCAATTTTATGAAGAATACCTTGAGAAAATGACAGCTGCACTTCTTTGAAATCAATGTGTTTTATCTAAACCCAAGTTTGACGTAATCGGCCATTACCGCGTGGCTGTTTTCGTGGATCACCTTCTAATTTCCCCTGATAATAGGCTATGGTTTACTCAGCTGATATCTTGTAAAGTTAGTTCCCACTTAAAATGTTTGTTCAAAACTCCATCATGTTTACTATATCTAATGGAAAAGTCACCAAAGGTCAACCTGATGGCCACGTATTCACATCAAATGAAAAAATGACAAAGACAGCAAATATTGATCACAAAATTACTCAATAATATTTTTGTGGACAACTCACCAGTTTTACTATGTTACCGTAGCCGAACTAAAGTATCATTTGAAAAGTTGAAGGCAAATGTTTTCTGGTAGAAATTATAGATTAACTGATATCAAACTCCTTTCAGAGTGGACTTAATATTTGACACAAGAAAAGGAGGAGAAAACGCGCTCAAAAATGGCAAAAAAGAGTATTTAGAAAGTCTGAGACGGTAGTATCCAGTAGCTTGGATTGTATTTGGGGCGTTGGCGGAGGACGGAGGGGGAAGGAAGTAAAAGGACCAAATTAATCGATATAATAAAATATTGAATTAATCTTGGCCTTGAGGGTGGTTTTGCTGGCATGAAGGTCTTACAACAGTAAAGTTGGCTCCTAAATACACCCTAAGGTTGCAAAGTGGTCGATAATGAGCCTTTCCTTTTACTTCCTTTGACTTACTAACAACATCTTGCAATAAAACTCGACAGGAAAAAAAATGATGTTTGCCGGTTCACAATATATGAAATGGGCGTGACAATGACAATAAATAGCAAGTTTAATACAAGAAAATTTTACTTTACAAGTGAGAATGCCAATTTCTTCGTTTCCCTAGCCACTCCTCGCGATGCCTCGCTTTCCCAGCCAGTTACTCAAGTTTTGTTTTGTAGTATAGGCGGCAAAAGATCGAGAATTAGATTTTCAATATACGTGTTTCTGCATTCTTCTCTTTCTGAAATGTATCAAGTAGTGTATTATTGAAGGCGTCAAGTCTTTTCCAGCTGACATATTATTTGTTCTTGCGTTAATGGATTAGAAACTTCACCCAAAGGAATGAGTTGTTTACAAAACTGAGATATATCGATATAACGTCAAATCCTCTCCTCAGTGATATTTGCTTAGCTGTCTAAGGCCTTGAATCAAACGTTGACAAATGCCAAAACATTTCCATATGAATCTTTAATCATTAAAATCGGAAGAAGTCCAAGGACTCATCGTACAAGTGAGGAGGTTTGAAGTATATCAGCTAAATTCACGAACATTGATTATCTTTATTAATCAAAAGAATTAGAGCTACAAATTAATAGCAATTTGCATGATCGTGCCTTAATGTTTAAACATTGTCAAATTCGGGTTTGACAAAATACAAACCACTTAAAGTAGTGCAGCTGACGCTTCTCAAGGTATCAAGCATAACTTAATAATAAGCCACTAGCCTCTATAAAGATTCTAATCATTCTAGTAAGCCACAAAGCGAGCAAGTCAACATGTGGTCACCACGTTCTTATATCGTTATCCTGTGTCTCTTTGCTGTTGCTCTACCAGTAAGTTTCTTTCATTCTCTTTTCTTAATCTATTGATAACTCTGTAGCTTTTCCATCAGATTTAGGCCAAAGAGCAAACCTGATGTCTCCAAAAAAATCTCCGTACCCTTGGAGGATTCAAATCTCAGATCTTGGGATCTCGTGGCTCCATAGGAGCATCACAAAATTCGTTTTTTTGTGTTAAGTCAAACACTAGGTCATCTGTGATAAGCCTCCTGAATGCTGATCACTTGATGATCTTTTGAAAATCAAAGAATGGAATTTTTATTGTATTGAAAATAAGCTTCAGTTTTAAGAAGAATGCATGTACACATGCCATGTAGAGACGTGGGCATTAACGAGATGAATCAATGCATGGTCTAAAATCAGTTCACTTCTTTCCCCTACTTTCCTCATGATCCTTAACTTTTTCTCTACATCCTTAACTAAATAGTGTGGTTTTATCTTGTATCAAACTTATCGAAGTGGCTAAAGCCGAGCAAAATAATCAAGATCGTTTGAGCTGCGAATGGACAGCATTCTAAAGCCAAAATTATTTTTCACGTTTTTCACTTAATCTAATTTGCTTTTTTGCCAAAATGGATCCTTCTTTTGGATTTTTAATTACTTTAAACGTTAACTGATTTTTTTAAAAATTATTTTCCTTAGGTTTTTCTGGAGGCAACTGATCATAAAAAAGAAAAACGTTCTGTGGAATGTAAGGTGCGATATTTAAAGATATGCATTTAAATAACATCGATCTACCAAAGTAGACTAATTTATTTCGTACTGGTTCAACCCCCAGGGTTTCAGTCATCATAAAGTGTTTTTCTTATTATTGCTATGCATTTCTTTGTAAGCTAATAAGTTTGTTGTACTATTGGGGTTAACCAGCCTCAGTCAATCGCGCAAACGGAGGCACCAAGAGTCTGATCAGGAACTTTTATTCACTCTCTGAATATATATCTGTCTCTTTAATTCAGCCCGTTGAGTACATGCTTCTAAATATCCATCAGTAGGCATATTTGGGCTTACGGGAAAACTGAGATTGGCAGAGTAATCATAGAACGCTGACCCAGACAATTTCACGAGAATTTCCAAATGAACAACAACGTACTTGAAAAACAACTAATCTTCGGGAATTAAAACTAAAACAAAACTTTCCGTGGAGGAATCTCAGCGAGGTCGGGGACAAACCCAAACACGACTAGCGATGACGATTATCGTACGAGAATTCAGCCCTATTATATTACAACAGTCAATGACACATTACTCAAAAGGTAAAAATAAAAATGTGATCTTGCAGCACCGATAACAAACCAAGGCTCACAAGACTCACATAAGGATTTCAAGTTAATCTAACAGGCCTTAACAATTCCCAAACACTTAATAAAAACATTCCTAATTTTAATAGTTTCCAAACACTTCTAAATTGAGTAGTTCATAACAGGTGCATCTGTTTTTTGTTCTCAGGAGAAGTAATGCACAATAGGTTTGGGAGATTAAAAGTTACCGGTCGAGCTTTATTTGTTCATTTTCGTAAACTTGATGCAAAATATATCTCCGAGTCTCCTGTTTTGACGAGAAAAGAACAAAAATTAGAGTTATGCGTTTCTATGAGCTCAGAAAAAAATACGACACTCCCGCCTATTTTCCTGCATACAGGTCGACATCTCTTATGGATGCGTATTTCCAAGAAAAAATCCCTACGTGTTCGTATTGTCTGCTGGGCCTAGGGGCACTTCTTTTCGTCCATATTATGTGGAAAATCGTAAAATGTAATATTTCTTGAGATGTTTCGATCTATTTTTAGGGAGATAATTGCCCAAAGTCAAACACTATTGAACTCAACCCATTTCGCCCTAAGTCCTGCATTGAGTATTATGTTCCTGGTAAGGCAACGTGTGGTATTTACCGGCTCTTTGACGACTATGGCAATAGCTTTCCAGCCTACTGTGACTTCACGTCCGAGCCTGGCACTGCGTGGACCCTAGTTATGTCCTACAACCAGAAGAATAGGGGTTTACCCCAGTTCTCCAAGACTCCGTTTAAGTTTGACGCTCCAGTCAACGAAAATTCCCAAAACTGGAATGTCTACCGCTTGGGTCTGTCTCGCATTAGGTCCCTTGCAGCCCACTCCACTCATTGGCGAGCAACCTGCAGCTACCCAAGCCATGGTGTCGATTTTACAGACTACGTTCGTGGTAACTTTAAGGATTTCAACGTTGTCGACTTTCTTGGAAACGGTGAGTGTAAGGAGGTGGAATACGTAAACATACGTGGGCACCGTGGTGTACATCTGACAGCCAAATTCTGGCAGGCAGAAAACAGTTTATCCTTACACATCGACAGCAGTGCTGCCGGCTGCGAATTTAACCCGACAGCTGGCGCAGTAGTAAGTGAAGACAACTTCGGGTTCTATGCAGCCATCAACCACAAGTTCCGCTGCACTCGAGGAGAAGGTTCAACTACTCAGTGGTGGTTCGGTTCCCATCTGTAGGCATCTTCTCAGAGGATTCCAACCGAAAGAGAGAGCTATGGCTCTCATCGTTCAAGTTATGTGATCTTGTAACACTGATTTAGCATTGAGAGATTCTTGAATAAACAGTTAAATGTATGAAAACCGTTTTGGCAAGTCTTATTGTCGATTGCTCACACATCACAAGGACTAAGATATGCAAGCCAACTTATTATTATTCAAATCCTTACCGAATTATACTTTTCAATGTTTGCATGACTTACCCCACTCTCCTTTGCCTACGAATTCAATTCCCATATTCCATCTCAACACAACTAGACTCAAATCGAACCGCGTTGATTTCTCTCCTCTGACATTCTCGGTAAAAATTTAAAGCTCGCATCCGCGGGGGTGATGTACTTTTGTACTTGGCTTTCTCACGGTGGAAAATAGAAGTTAACAACATCTCGAGGTATCAAATGAGGGGTCTCGATTGAATCGAAAAATAGGTGAATACAAGTCGAATGATGAGTTAGATAGAATTGAATGAAGCATCAATTATACGAAAAAGATATTGAGAGGCAGAACACTGTTACTATTTAAAAATAAAGAAGCTATCCTTAAATTTGAGTTGCACGCAAATATTGAGAGACACAATGATTTAGTTGTCAACACATATACTCTGATTGTGTGGAGTTGTTGTATAAGGAGTCAAAAACACGAAACTAGATTTTGTTTCGTACAATTCGGTTGAATTGTACCGAATTTACAGCCTGCATTATTTTTTTAATGAAATTTATAATTACGAAATGAAAAATTGATCATGTTTTAGATTATGAATATCAATAACAAAAAGCGACACGTTTTGTGCCACGTAATTGCCGGTGTAGATTAAAGAAACAATTGGACGAGAGTCTGGTTCCGTTGCGGTGATGTGGTATTCTGGTTTGCAAGAATTGTGTCATTCAGTGACATATATATCCTGACGCAATGGCTATTGAATTCCATTATTGTAGGACTGAATCTTTTCTTCCTTTTTGTAATTTTTAAAGCTAATTCTAGTTTGTTGAGTAACCATTCAAGTTACGTGTTATTACGTCGTGTTTCCCGTTTTAAATTAGGCTCAGAATACCTTACCCTAAAAACTTCCGGTAAGGCTGTCATAAAAGGAAGAAACACACTCCTTGCTCTCGTATTAAGAAAAGAACAGAGAGTAGCTTATTCATTTCGCATTCGTCCAGCAATCTTAAGCGAGCATAAGTTGTTTTTGTAAACGCATCTTTATGCCGGCAGTTGGATATGCATTTCAACAGCAGTCAGAACTCGTCCACTTTTGTCAAATCTGATACAGTGTTTGTCTGTGTGTATGCACCAGAACTGACATGGAACCTCAACGACAGGACTTTTCCTTGGATTTTATTAAGTATCACATTTGTTGCTTCCCCTGCTACAGTAGCCTTGAACATTGTAGTCGTCACGGCCATAATGAAAATGAAAGAGCTTCAAACGAACTCAAACCTTTTATTGTGCAGCTTAGCGATCGCTGATCTCCTTGTGGGTACAGTGAACATGCCCTTATTTGTCGCTATTTGCTTCTTAATGGTCAAGCAAGTTTGGTCTCAGCGGATTTGCTTATTGGACATTCTTAACGTCTACTCAATGTACTGTTTTTCTATGTCATCTTTGTTTCACCTGACAGTGATTAGCTGGGAAAGGTATGTTGCAGTGGTAAAATGGATTGAATACAAGACGATTGTGAGTAGACGCCTCATTGAAATTCTGAAGGTGGTCGTCTGGCTTGCAGCCTTATGTTTAACAGTTCCAGCCCTCATGATGGAAATTCTTGGCTTGGCTGAGAAGATCTCACAAACCCTCTACATTATCTGGTGCGTCGTCGGAACAATTGCCATTGTAGCAATCGTCTATTTTTGTGCTATGGTTTGCACTGGATTTCGAAGGCGCAAAGTGAGCGAAATCAGCCGAGTTACTGATTTATTAAAGGTAAAACTTGAATCTAAGCTTGCCAAGACATCTGCCATTTTAACTGGATCCCTATGCCTGTCATTTTTTCCTGCTATTGCAATGTTCATGGTAGGAGAAGCTTTCCCTATCCTGCGTTCAAGTTCAGCTTTCCTCCTGTGGGAATTACTTATGCAGTTGAATTCCCTGGCGAATCCTTTACTGTATTGCTACAGAAATTCTCGTGTTAGGAATGGTGTGAAGAAACTGTTCCGAAGAAATGCTTTACCAGCCAGAAATAAATAACGTGCGATTCGTTAAGCCAAACTTAAAAGGCTCATATGCTTTAAAGGAAAATTCACCAGAGTTCCAATCTACATGCAAACCTACTCGCTTTCCAAGATCTGCGTCTTGCGAACTTGCTGTCGTAACAGCACATGATGGCCATTTGGAGAGATATCTAGAGAAAAAAAGCGGCGGCAACTTTGTAGAACATCGACTAAATTCGTTCAAGAGCATGAAAACCACTGCATCAGTAGAGGTTGTAGTTTTCGGTAAAAAGAGAAAACTTGAGCGGCCAAAACAGGAAATTAAACCCTGTAACTCATCAAAAGTAAGATCAAAATCTTGTGATGCTTCCGTTAATCTCATAAAAATTTCCAAGCAATTACCTGACAAAGACTACAGGCGTTTCTCAGGTGCCAAAAGGCGTCATTCTTCTCCGTGATGGTAGAGACCCTCGATAGCGGACATTGTGAGAACCGCAATGAGTGTAACTGAGAGGCCAAATTACGATTAAGAAACATATATTAACCAAGCTTATGTATAGTATGAGCCGTTGAAGTCTTGTAAGTTTTTTTTTTCCAAAGCATTCGCCTGCTAGGGGTACCGGCCTCTCTCAAGCAAGTATAAATATACTTTTAGTCACAAGTAAAAAATTTTTCATTTTACTTTATTATAAGGAGCGAACAGAGATTGATCTTCGAATAGCTCTTCATCCCCAGGGCCTCATTTAAATTTTCATTAATCTTTTACCGTGCCCTCTGATAAAAAATAAAAAGATATATTAGTTTGGTCAATAATGGTTTAGTTTTTTCAGCTTTTATTTGTAAGACCTTCTGATTAAATAAAACCGTGAAAACTTCGTGTTGCCGGGTCCAGGGCCCCGTTTCTCGAAGGTCCCAATTTTCATTCCAGGTGTGGGTTTCAAAGTTTTGAAAATGATCTAAAAAAACTATCAGCTAAAGAAATAAAATGGACTGACTAGGGAGCCACAAACTGCTTTTCTATTCTTTAAATTTTAATTTTAAAATATGGTTCCATGCCTGTCAAGTTACCGGGACTTTCGAAAAGCGAGTCCCAATACTTGATGTAAGGAAGTCTGCTCACAAAGTACAGAAAAAACTTCCGAGTAATTTCCTGTATTTCCGTGGCTATTACTTGGTGTAGAAGGCACACTTAACGTTCAACAATAGAAAAGAAAAAGACAAAAGAACCTGGAAAATAATGAAAACAATAAGTTTGAGTCGGTGTTCTACTGTGACGTGTTCTCTGTCTTCTACACCAAGGAGGAGCTGTTGCCGTCAATGAAGAGTAAAGAAATGACCAATGCAAGTTTAGAAAACACTACTAATTAAGCCAAAAAAAACGAGAGCAGTGGATGAATCATGCGATTTTTTGTTTCAAGGTGGTAAAACTTTGTGCGCGAACGGAGCCATCCGAGAGCAAGGTGAGGCTAGAAGGAAGCTTAAAACAATTGCAAGGAAATGATATTGGCGCGTGGGATAACTATGTCCTTAATCAGCAGGTCGTGGGCTAAGCGAAGGCTACAATGACATTCAGATGCGAGGAAAATCTATTTCATTCTATTGTTAAAAAGGAGGTTAGAAATGGGACAGATGTTTTACACTTAAAAAATTGAATCTCAAAAACAATGTTTTGATCACCATTCCAAATTTTTTGAAGCTATGTCTTCTTATATTTTTATCGCATATGACTTGGTAAAGAACTTTTCTCCTGATCCTGCCCAGTTTTTAATTTACTGCACAGAGGAGTTTCCAACAGTTGAAGCCGCTTTACACATTTATCTAAATCTATTTCACGATTTCCCTGTACTTTGGATAGCAAGTTGTTAAGGATTTTTTCCCTCATTCTGGTTAGATCTTGAATTCATTGTTAGGAAAATTGAGGCCCTTTTTTTGAAAAATCCTGCTTTATGTGTTCACCCAAATTTCTTTTTAAGATATTCCCTTTCCTAGTGGCTGAGAAAGTGTATGCTAAAGAACTGAATTTATTTTTCTTCGTAGTCAGTATTTGGTACTTCTCTCTTTCAAAGTCAAAACTCGTTGACTTGAACTTTGTAATTTAAAAATTACTTGTTATAAAAATTTTTCCTTATTTCTAACGAAATTTTCTTAATTTTCTCTATCTTACGTAGTAGTTAAGATTTTTTTTAACGTTTTCATCCTTTTTGGAGCTCGATAAACTATGCCAAATAGCCAAACTGCTTGACTTGAATCGCATGATGATTATCGTCCGTCCCTTTTCAGCAGACTGGGTCAAAACGAGCGTAAACTGGAGTTTGACCTTTTCTTGTACCACGTGATGATCAAACGACCCTCAGTGACGTATTTAATCCATTTAAAGCTGCAGAGTGTATCAAATTTTCAGCGTACCCGAAGTAGTGTAAGCCACCATATGACGATAATTGCCTCCTCTGAAAATTTTGCATATTTTCAAGGTTAAAATTTCAAAGAACGCATTTTATCACAGTAATTAAAGATGATGAATTATTCAAAGTGCATGTTAATGAGGAGAAATTGTTCATGTCCGTGGAAATTTGAAAAAATAAGGTACTATAAATGTAAGCTTGAAGAAGTATAACTTTCTATGGCATGTAACTGCAACTTTCATACAAAGCAAGCGAGTATGAGTTGAAGAGGATCGCGGTTTCCTTACAATAGTCAAAGTTTTGGCTGGTATGTTTAAGTAAATCCTCCCCAAAAACGAAGAAATTCATTAATATTGACCGGCGTTAGTTACCTCTGGTCATTGACATGACTTGTAGACACGAATAAAGTTCACTTTATGCCAAGAGCTTCTTTAGTTTAAAGCAGGCTCCACCGAAAGTTTTTTACATTATGGTAATAGGTTCCAGTGGAGTCGAATTTAGTGTGTAAATCATGCGAATAATCAAAGCAATATCGACAACCGTGAAGCAGGAACCTAATTTGTTAATCAGTCTGATCTCGGGTTCTGCTATCAGATGCGGGTGTCAATTACAAGTAAAATGCATAGACGGCCTTATTTGTATCTAAAACGGACAAATGACCGCCGATCCTTTTTTAGAACTTTGTTATTAGCTTCATTAGTTTCGTTGTCTTTTGTAGACGGTCTAACAGCACCTGGTGATCCGGGAGTCAATCATGCAGTCGCATACTCTAGTTCTTCTTCAAACTATGTCATGATATTTTCAATTATCTTCTTGTGTCAACTGTGTTTATTTTCCTTGGACCAGTTCGGTGCATATTACATCCTGCTCCCGAAAAATGCGATGCAGAATATCTTATTGGATGGTTTTGATGGGAAATTTGAACATGATGTCAGTGTTTTGCACATCTTCGAACCGTAAGCAATTTTAATTTTTTCATTCATTTAATTGGAAAGTATACATGCCGACTTGTGTGTGCTGTAATGCTGCGATTTTAGAGGAGAGTAATTTTGGCACCACTCTGAGGAAACTATTCTAATTACTCCAAATCAAAACGTTAGTTATCAGGCTAAGAACGGAAAAGGAACCCAATTAAATTTTTCCAGTCCGATTTACACTCGGCCTTTTTTATGTAAATCAAACATTTCACCTGTTTGAGAGAGTTAATGAGGTTTGATTAAGTTTGATCCCAAATCTAGATTTTTTCCGATAGGATACACTTTAGATTAAAAGTGAGCAAAATAACTTTCTCTGGAATGAGCGACTTGAGCTGCAAATTAATGAACCTGACATTAGATTCCAGCCCATGCCAGTTCCATTATGTTCTTCCAACTAACAATCTTGTTGCTTCGGAGTGGCATTGTTGAATTGCCGTTCAATCGATTCCTCCAGACGAAAACAGTTTTCACTTTTGTGCTCGTTTTCGCTTGTTCAATAGAGATGTTCAACAACTTCGAGATTTTAATTCAGGGATTAAATTAGCGCGGCCGCTTTGATTCTTCTTTGTCATCATAGTGTTGGGAAAATTGCAGACATGACCAATATGTATTAGACATTAGCTCCGGATCACATTTCTTCTTAAAAGGGAGATGTTTCTGAGAGCACGAAGGAACTAGTTTCTTCGAAATATATCGACAATTTAGTTTTCGTTTGAAGAAATTGCATAGCGAAATCTTTTTTGAATTGTTTCCTGTTAACAGTTTATTAGCTACAGAGGCCAATCCCAGCCCCCCCCCCCCCCCAAAAAAAAAAAAAAAAATTCAAGACTTACTTCAAGGCAAGATGTATTCTTTCCCCAATTGTTACGGGATGGATTGAGAACAATCAGTTTATCAGCCATTAGGGCCAATTTTAACCAAAAAAAAAGACTAAAAGACAAATTTAAGCCATACTTCAAGGCAAGGAGCATTTTAATAGTGGGATAAATTAAAGATATCGATGAGAACAAAACAATCTTTTTTAAAAGTACCAAACGGTGGTTACTTGTCCACAGGGAAATTTCAGACAAGTCGTAATTTTACAATTGGCCGTAACTTTACAATCTGATTGGCCAATAAGAGTAACGATGCTCGCGTCAACATGTCATGCAATGGTCACGCATTGAAGGAATCATTCTTTTTTAAGTCCATATTGTGGTAAAAAAACAAATCGACAGTGGTTTTAGCGTGGTCTGGACTCTTATTGAAAACCGTAATATTCTTCATCACAGTCTTCAAAATTTGTAGCGGACTCACGAGGCACAATCGAGTACGTCCGCGACATTTTGACCGTTGTAATGACGAATATCGTTGTTGATTAGAGTACAGACACGCTAAACCACTGACGATTTATTAATGTTAACTTCTGTCTTAATCTTTACCAAGATTATTGCAGGGTCATCAAATGGATTGATCACGTGGAAGGAGAAGCTCTGTATGGCCACGTGATTACCACACTGAATGTACCCGACGAGTTCGTTTGCCGCTTGCAGTGCTACTTTAACTACTCATGCGTTTCATACAACTTTGGAATAAATGAGACTGTTGCCGACAACGTATGCGAACTCAACAACTCCACTGACAAAACACAACTTAAGATGAAAGAAAAGTTTGTGTAT